GTTCTGAGCGCGGGCAGTGTATAGCGCTCTGCTACTAAATGACACACACCGCACATATGTGCGACTCGGCAGTTTTTGCGTGGGTGATAAGCTCGGGAAAACTGTAAGTATTCACAGGCTGCCATAGTCGCGCGCTTTGCGGTTGAGCGCATGCTGACGCCGAGCGTTCGCAAGATACCTGTCACACCATCAAACCTGTCGGTCTAATGGAAGGTGATAAGTTTCACATGCACAGCTTGCACTGCTGATGACGTCACGTGAATAAGTCTTCTAATGCGCTACCTCCAACACTGCTGCAGCCTCCGCAGCCGTACAGTTTTGGCTACGACAACGTGGACGAGTACGGCACCAAGCTCTTCCACAAAGAAACCGGCGACGCCAACAACGTCAAAACCGGCTCGTACGGCTACACGGACGCCAACGGACTTTACCGACGCGTGAACTACGTGGCCGACGCCAACGGGTTCAGAGCCACAGTGGAGACCAACGAACCGGGCACCCAGGCCGGGTCCAGTGCCGACGCTGTCTTCAACGCCAACCCCGTGGTGGTCGGACCGACGAGCGCCGGTGCTGCAGGTCAACGGTACGCATCATCGGCGTATGGGAGCAAGGCCGCTCCTGGTTACGGCCGTCACGGATACGGCCATGGCGGCTACGGCCAGGCCGGATACGGCCGTCCGGGTTATGGGCATCACGGACACGCTCATCATGAATACGGCGCCCGATCTTGAGACTTCCTTGCGTGCACTAGTGCATCACGGACATCGAGTGTGTTTAATGGGTGTATCTCGAAACAACCCATTCTTATTTGAACCCTTCTCGTTTGAACCCAATCGCAAAACGCCCTTCTCGTTTTAACCTTTCGCGTTTCGACCCTTTCTTATTTATACCCGTCTCATTTGAACCCATTCTCATTTGAACCCTTCTCGTCTGAACCCATTCGCAAAACAGCTTTCGCGTTTTAACCTTTCGCGTTTTGACCCTCTCTCATTTGAACCCGTTGTCATTTGAACACCGGTCCGTAGTGAGGTATAGGAAGAAGGAAAAACAGTTGAGGATGAAGGTTGAAGATGAAGCGAAGCGGCACCATCTCTTGCATAGCACATGAAACAATTTTTCTTATGCCTGCGTGCCACCCCGAGTCTGTTGACGTAGCTACGTGGTCACATGGTGACGTGGTTTCAAAAGTGCTAGCGCAGATTCGGTACTTAATTTCTCTTCTGTCGCTGTATGTCGTTAAGATGTCGTCGTTTAGAGCGGACGGATCCTTGTGCTATTCGTGTGTTATTGCTTGTAATGGCCAATTCGGATGGTCATTTTCCCTGAAAAAAGTTTTCCCATATCTTCGGCAAGGGCGTTCGCGTGGTCAAAGGCTGGTGGGTGCATGCTTTTCGGGTTGCGCTTCTCAGGCGTGTACCGGCAATTTACCAGCAGACGTTTTCCCGAGCTCCAAGAGGTCGGGCAGGTTGTCTGCCAGACTGTATCCGGTATCGTCACATCCGAATCGGGATAGGGAACCAAACGAAACAATGCTCGCTGAGGAGGCAAATAGCGGGTTCGAGTGGCAAACGAAGCCATCGAGACAGGCACCCTTTTGTGCTCTGAGACAGGATAGCAAAAACAACGAAGAGAAAGATAATTTATGTTTCAAAGAAAGTCAACATTTTTGGAAGAATTTATCCAGCCTGATCAAGGTATGTTTGCTCTAAGACACGGGCTGCATCATACATCACTTTATTTTACGACTCTGTAATAACAAGGTATTACACCGCTGAAAAAAAAAGTATGCATAGTGATGCAGTTTGAAACTTGAACACGCATTACAATTTCAAGGAGGGTGGGTGCAATGAGAAGACTGAGGATTCCGAAAAAAGGTACTCGAGAGTTTTAGTAGATCGTTCCGATACCCCCGATAGCCCCGATAACGGTACTATGCATGCGCAAGGGAGGCGGTGGCGGAGTATCGGGTATCGTTATCGGAGTCATGGGAACGATCTACAAAAACTCTCTAATAACAGTAAACAGAATATGAAAAGTGACGCTGGCGAGCCTCCGTGGCAACAGTTAATCGAAAATCCAAACGAAGTTTATTGAAATTTGACGCGCGTGCGGGCAGCACCACACTGATTTATACATCTGCCCTTTCATTGATTTTATATTTTAATATTCTGTCAGCTGTACGGACGGTGGTAATGACAGTATTTTGAAAAGTTTTGTGAAGCCGCTTCTGTTTACACACATCTCAAAGAGTCGTAATTTATGTTGGCGTATGCAGCGTGCTCATGGTACCATAGAATGATCTAAGAAGAAGTTAACAGAGCTCACTCGCCACCCAGTCAAATAAAAACGCCAGTTCATTGTGCTTTGCATTCGGGTGGAGACGTGATGCGCCGCTGGCGCGTTTTTGGTCGCCGGTGTTACAGGCAAGGGCTCGAAGGCAATTAATTACCCGAATTCGCCATAAATACCGCAGAAAGATTGCGAGATCATGATGTTGGATTAATTTGGGTTCTGAATGAGAGAGGTTAAAATGAGAAGAAAAGTCTTTCTGACAATGGTGAAAACCAGAAAGTATGTTTTGAGAAAATTTAAAATGAGAAAGGTTAAAATGAGAAAAGTCGTTTTGAGAAGGGTCAAAACCCGAAAGTTTGTTTTGAGAACGGTTTAAATGAGAAAGGGAGAAACGCGAAAGTTGTTTTGCGCTGGGTTGAAATGAGAAGGTAAAAACGAGAAGGTAGAAAGGCGAACGGGTTCAAATGAGAACCACCCTGTTTAATACCGTCCAGTCCTTCACTACCACACAAAAAAGGTTTACATAACGTTTAGTCAAGCCGAACCATAACTTTCCACATTACAAGCAGAGTTATGAATTGACTCCGCTATGGCTAATGCACCTGAAGAGCAAATGTGGACTGTTTTTGTTCATGAGTTAAAGTAAGTTTTTGAGTGCGTGCACTTATTTGAGGAGCGAAAGATAAAGATGACAGGAAGCTAGGTTTCTTTCAGTTTCGTGTACGAGCTAGCCCAACAACAAGTGTTGTTAAACTACATTGTACTGTGCCGTTATGGAGCGTGCAATTCTAGTCTTCAATGTTATGTTTTTATAGAGTTGCCTAATGATAAAAACATCTCTCGCTAGAAGTACCAGAGGCAAGGCGTGTTTATAATGATGTTGATGCTTACGTTAGTGAAGTTGCGAATCGACAATTCTATCAGTTCTCAATTCTGAACACATTATTTTTGTAGGACTGCTCATGATCACAGAATGGTTTCGAGTGCAAGTGAGCTAAAGAGCTTTGAGTGTAAAGATGGTAATAATAAAACAAATGAAAAAAAAGAAAAAAGAGGTTCCTGTCTGCATGACAAGTTCTCGTCAACAGTGGTCATAAATTCCATTGCACGACTTCCACTATTCCACGATGTCCACTTCCTTGAAGCCAGGTGGTAACCGTCTGGGCTTAAAAGGAAGGCAGTGGCATTTCTGAAAAGTTAAGCCTCCTGCCTAGGCTCATTTTACAGTTTTCGACATTTTCCTTTTCCGAACGTCTACTGTATACTATGCGAGGAAGTACACCCGCTCGCATTTGTAAAATCGACTGGAAACAGAGCCTTAAAGAACGCATACTTTCGTAGATATGTTAAGTTTGCAACATTAGGCTGATACGGTAAACTAATCCGTCAGTCCACTATTTTATGCTAAATTTTGCATGGCTGGAAGAAGTGCTTCTTTGTCTTGATGATCGTTTTATTGAGGACGATTTCATTGAACCACGCGCTAGCGACGAATACATTGCGGCAATCGCATTTAACAAAAATTGTACTTCGTAGGTTTCGCCTCAGCCTTTTGCTTAAAGGGGTACTCTATCATTGTTTTCACGATTATAGCTTTGGTTCAAAATAGACTCTAGATATAAATACATGTAGCGTTACAAGTTGTAACAAAACTATTAGACTAAAAAATTTTTTTTTCGCGAAGTCATAGCATTTTGTTAATTTCGGAGCTCACCATTTTTTTTTTTTTTTTCATACCAAAAGTGTTTATAAGGAACACCAGAACGTATACGCTAGCGGAAGGCACAGGTTCGCACTTTGGGAGTTAAAACTTGTTACTAAATGATTACAACAAATTTGTTGTCAAATTAATGCTGCAGCTCCATTCAATTAATTGTATAGATGTGCAGCATTAATTTCCACGCAATTTGTATAGCGTTATTGAGCGAGTGTTAACACTCGCTCATTAACACTAAACAGATCGCGGAAACTTCCTTTTAACATTGTCCGCTTTTGCCTCCAATCAACATTACACCGCTGTAAAGTAAGGACAATGTTCAATGGTGTGTTGAATGGGCTACATTTGTTGTTTCCTCAGTGGCTATTTCAAATTTAGAAATGTTATTTGACCTGCCGAAATATTAAATCCCAGGTATCACAAAATGCAGTTGGTTCGAAACATGCATTCCGTTGAAACAAAGAGAAAGATGAAGCGATGCTAGCGGTTCTAAGATTTTCTGTATTTCTAAACGAACCGTTAGATAAATAATCCACCGAAATTTCCATGCACAAAATGAGGTGATAATACGCCGAAATTTTTATATACAAAGACACAAAATCAAAGCACGTAATCTTACCTTGTTCTTATATATTCTACGAATGCGATGTCTGCATAGCCTGCGCCACGCTGTAGCGTGAACACGGCCTCAGCACTATTTCGCAGTTCTTTCCTCAGGGGCATAGAGAGGTCCCACATTTTACCGTTACGTTTAGTGGCCGAATTGAATCATTTTATGCAAACTGGTGTTCATATTACTGCCTTTAGCTTTAAGGGAAAACAAAAACAACTCTGGAGATTACTTCTACGCGCTAACGGTGCAGTGCAATGTATGACTCAAGGGACAGTTTGAAGCGCAGTGTATATCTACATAGCAGGTATTCCTTCGATTAAAATTATTCAATGAATGTTCCCACCGAAACACGTCTAAATCAAGGCAAAACACATCACGTTAATAATTCAGGATATAGTTTTATTTTTATATTTGCTTCTTAGGTGCTATTTAGACGACCGTGGTGTGGCCAAGGGTGTAGCCAAGATTAGCGTGAGCAACGGTGCTGTAAGCAAGAGGAGCAACCCTGTGGGTGTAGGCGACTGGGGCTGGGTGGACAGCTTTGACGACAACTGGCGCTGGGTGGACAGCCTTGACGACAACTGGGGCTGGGTGGACAGCCTTGACGACAACTGGGGCTGGGTGGACAGTCTTGACGACAACTGGGGCTGGGTGGACAGCCTTCACGACAACTGGAGCGGCAACCTCGACAGAGGAAGAGTACGTCGGGGCATCAGCTGGGGCGGAGGTCTTGGTGCCTGGCTCGTTAGTCTGAACGGTAGCGCGGAAACCAAGGGCGTCGGCAACGTAGTTGACAGTACGGGCAACGCCGTGAGCGTCCACATAGCCGTAGGAGCCGACCTTGTTGTTGAACTCGTCACCAGTCTCCTGACGGGTCAGACGGGTGCCGAACTCGTCGACGTTGTCGTAGCCGAAGCTGTACGGCTGGGGCACGTGCACCTTGGTAGAGAGAAATATGGAAATTGAAATAATTTGTCTTGACCACGGTAGGCAAGACCAAGTTAAAGTTGGATACTTAAAGTTATTATAGAAAGATTTCTGGGCCTAAATCATTATTTTCAGGATATAGTATATATTTGACAATCATGAAACGTGGTATTGGATATTTGTTTTGGTTTCTTTGCAAACAAATTGCACATATCGGGCTACCATTCGTGTTCCTACTGAATTTCTCGTTTTTTTCGGACCAGGAGGCAGCATCTCAGTAACACAACAAACGAAGAGAAGATTGTGTCTTGGCACAAATAGTTTTTTGAATGAGACTTCGAAAATGATTAACACAGTGGTATCGTAACCGAATAAAAATAAATCTACTGCTGCCAGGAGCTTCCTTAGAAGAATGGTACGTCACACCGATGATCTAGTGCAATAAGACGATATAGCGGCACCTGGTGGGATAATTTTCTGGACTCCTGTTGCCAACTTGCGTTTCACTGTCCCTTTTAGATGACTGAAGAGTGTCTCAAAACTTCATCAACAGTAACCGAGTTCAGAATAATGGAGAGTGTTCCGTAGCGTGCTAATATCCGTTTTTGCTTTCTCGTTGTTCTCCGTGTAAGCTGACAATGCAGGAAATGTTTCTCGCGTATGTACGGATACAACAGCCAGTAAGGTTACATACAGTAGTCATCGTCCATAATGTAATAGGCAGTTTGCTAAGCCCCCCACGCACCTCAAAGCGCTCGTGGAATCATGAAAATGGCGTTCCTTAAATTCCCTAGTAATCACTTATTTCTACCCATTGGATGCTGACATACTTTTGAGTGCGATACAGAGTCACCTTGAATAAGCGTCCTATAAAGTCCAGAGACCTGTCATATTACTTTTCAAATGTCTCGTCAATGTCAACGTCTTTAGTATTGTGAATGCCATCCACCCTTCAAGCTGGCTGTGTTGCCAATATCTCTTACAATTTTATCATTCTCGTGCTGCTTCAAACATGTTGACATTAACTTGAACCGCTAAAAATGCTATAAACAGCCCGCTGACTTTGAGCTAAATCCTGTTTTTGGTTGTAGCAAATTTTCGGTTTTTTAAGCAATTCATGCTAAACAACAATCACGAGAACCATAAAATGGTAAGAGATTTTTGCAGCCTCATCGAGGTTGAAACTTTAATTTCATGAACACTTTTAGAAACGCTGATATTGAGAAGAAATTCCAAAAATGATATGACTGCTCTTTGATCCTTACACGACGCTTATTCAGAATGACGCCGGACTACACTCAAACAGTGTGAAACCATGAGGTTGGTCGAGATTCGCGATCACTAGGGAGCTGAAAGAACACCGTTCTTATGATTCCTCGAGTACTGCCCGGGGCGCATAGGGATCTAGCACGTGGTCTATTACATCGTGCATAAGCTGAGAATTGTGAGCATTTGAAGAAGCACGGTTTGCTACCCTACAAAGACAAGTCATGTTTTCATCTGAACTAAAATATGTATTTTAGAGGTTGCCATTGACAAATTCAATAACTTCTAAAAGTCACACTTTAATTAAGCCTATACTTATCTCTTGAGCTGTGCACGTGTCTTCTTGCAACAGGATCTACTAGGTAGTACCGATTTCTTTGCATATTTTGTCAACCAAAACAAATGATGAGCTGAACTTTAAGAATGGTAACTCCACGAATTTGTGGTTGAGAAAGTAATAGCGATAATAACAGCGTCCAGCTTGTGTGGAAGGCTTTTTAACTTACATTTTCGACAACAACGCCGCAAGCCACGTAGGCGAAAAGGCAGCACACGAGAACCTGCAAACAAATGTCATCTTTAGGCGAATTCACACAGACGGGTGGGAAAGTGTAATCCCTGAAAATAAGCGAAATTCAGCAGAAGCCATAAATAAGTATTCATCATGCTACCTTCGAGAACATGGTGAATGATGCTTCTCTTTCACTGAAGTGGAAGTGATACTGCATCTCTCACTGACGACGCCTTATATACTGGCACTGTGCATACCAGTAACGCCCAGCCTTCGTCAATCTCGACGACTAATCTTAGGGGGAACACTTATGGATCATCACTCTCCGCCGCTATGAAACCGGAGTGTCCTGGAAGGAAATTCCTGAGGGAAGGGCGTATCTTTTAAGAAGTTTGATCTGCTTTGCGGTCACGTATATGAAGATGTAATATTTTTCACCAAGAGTTTGATTCGTATATAATGTAACAGTAAATGCTAGGTTAAATGCTTGTACTAAGCGGTTCTTAAGAACAGTCAACAGTGTTGTTTGCTAACTTTATGTTCAGGAGACGTGTATCTTTAATTGGTCAATTAACCAGTAGCAACGTATTAAAATCTGAATTTTGCATAATGAATACAGATATCTGCTCGATGAATACAAAGTTTTATACCTATAATTAAGATAAAAATATTTGAGCTTCCGGAGCTGTCTTGATTGCTCGACCCTTTCTCTGAAATATGTTTAGACATTTTAAGACTGAGCTTATGTTTAGCTGCAGCGGTCACTAGTCTTCGGGCAAAAACATGTTCAATGTGCTTGTGCTTTCCAGAAGTCTAAACATACAGTCTTTATATCAACGACAAATATGCTAAAGAAAAGACATGCATTGCATATATTACCTATTGAAAGTCAACTTATGGAGGAACACACGTGATCTGTAAAAGTCATGCGTTTTTTTTGCGCTACATAGGATCTCGCTTCATTCACTTCTTTAATTGTGCCACAATTATAAAAGAAACATTAAGAAATGAACACAAAAATAAAGATGAATTCCCTCCCATTTTACCAGCATAAAACGTGTTTTAAATAAAAACCGTCGCTAACTATTATTAAAGTTAAGATTAACTATAAAAAATTAATCGACCTAAAATGTAAAGTTTTGTTTTGCTTAAGTCTAGTCGTATAAAGACGACCGTCATCATTACCATGATCAAAGTTCAAAGAGCGAATGTCAATAGCACTATATTCGCAAAAAAAATTACTACTTATACCCTAGCAAAAAATACTGATGCGATATCCAATCTGGCAATCTTGTATATTGGACGAAAAGATGGCAATAATCAGTTGTTAATAAACCGCCCTTTAAAAAAAAAAAACTACCGTTAAAGAAAATTTGTCAGGCTGGGCGTAACGTAGAAACTTCCCCATGTATTGGAATATATCTGCAGGTTATGTTGCCTAAAGGATCCCTATCAAGTGTTGTTGCATACTTTTTAACAGTTCACTGGATAGTGCTTGTGTGTACGAATATTTAAGAGCTTCTACCGCAGCTTTCTTGAAGTAGATTGTACGCTGCGCGACTGTGTAAGGGCGAACACGCCGTCGGTGCTTCTTTCTGTTTTTCCTGGGAAGGGTAGCAGCAGGCACAAACGTTTACCGCCTAGGCTAGCGCTCCAAATGAACCCTTTCCACAACACTAGTGCTTTGATGATAGCCACTCAATTTTGCGATGGGAGTTCATAAAGGTATTTATTATCTTGTATTTTGGAAGGCGACATGGCCGGCGCACATGCGTACGCGTTCTAACCCTTTTGTTCAGCCTCCCACGACAACCAAAGTTACACCCTCCGGAAAATAAAAATATAAATAATAATTAATTTTATTATTAATATTATTATTATTATTATTGTCGTTGTTGGTGTTATTGTTGTTCTTGTTGTTGCTGCAATCAAGAAGGAGAGTTGGAATCACGAGCGTCGGCGGTGGGGATATTTCATCTCCAAACATGCAATGATCAAGGTGGCGCGCTTCTCCAACCGATGCATAAGCCGGCGTTGGGCTTGGTTGTGTGATGTATTCATTTTGGCCCTTCGTGAAATGTGCCACTACGACAATCACCTTGTGTTCTTCCCGAAACGCCTGCCATGCAATGGTTTTACATGAGAAGAAGACGAAAGTCAGTGAGTGCCAGGGTGAATGAACACAAGGGAAGAGGCAGAATATCACAGAATGACCCTGTGTGTTGAGGTGAAGTAAGCATACTTCCCAGGCTAGCTTGCCGCGAAGTTTGATGACCCCCGGGGAATCTCGTCAGGAGGTGACAGCTATATTTCCCCGTGACTTATAATAAGAATGTTCTTTAAGAGCACATTAGTACTACCCCAGTAAACGCAAAACATTACTTCTCCCCCTGACGGCTTCATTTTGACTATTGTTTTCGGTGTTAAATACGTGCGCTTCTTTGTATCCTGTGTTTCTTCGTTTCAGGGGCGTTATGGTGAAATGAAACACTCATTCCTGGTGGTCAGGTGATAAAGAAAGTCGCCGTGGCCAACTTGAGAGAGCTAGATCATTTCCTTTGAAGATTCTATTTGGCGCTGATTTGCATGCGAGTGATAATTCATTATTTGCAATTCAACTCGCATGTCCAAATCATTTAGTATTCTGAGACAAACCGTTTGAGCGTTCTGATACTTCGGGGATGTGGCTTGTTCCAGAAGGCAAATTTTATTGGTATCATTCATTTCTTGCGTCAAATAACATACACTTTATATACTCTCCCACAAAAATAAAAAAGAACAGAAATATTGACGATCGCTTTTTTGCGTTATTAGTTTCGTACTCTCTACATGCTGATGCCTTAGTCTGCAGAGCGAAAGCCTCCTGCATACTGACAAAGCCTGGCAGATCGCCACGAGACGCAGCCGCCGAAATTGAAAAGGTAGAGCGGCGGACAACGTATAAAAGGAAAGCTACTTGACGGGCGCCCCGCTGCGGCGAGACGCCGAAACACACTTCTCCTGAGCGATGGAATGTCTGCTCGTGCTCCTCGCGTTCCTCGCGCTGCCACTTCGTTTCTCGTCGGTTTTGAAAACTATGTTCCTGGTCCTCGCCGCTGCAAAAGCTGTGCGCTGACGACCAGGTTCCCCGAGAAATGCTCTGTGCTACCGGATCGTCGCTCTCCATATCTGCTACCGGGCACTCTATGGCTTCGTCGTTGAACTGGCCAGGCTTTGTGAGCACAGAGGATGTTATGGCACAGCTCATGTTGAATGTAATCATACTTCGAAATCAAAAAGCTAGCTGGTCACTATTCCTAAGCTTAAAAAAGCTCCTCTGTGTTTCCGCGGTGCTTCGCTGCGGAATACGTTGAAATGCTTACTTGTCTTCTGTAAAGTCTGTATTGCTTTATTCAATCGTGGCTCTTCTCGCCCTAGTGAAAAAGTCAATTGTATAGAGAAAGTTCTTGTGTCCAACGAACACGCATGAATCATACGAGACATATAATAACATATGAGAACCATATAAGAAACTTCTCACAAGTTTTTTTTATGGTTGTTATATGTTCTTATATATATTTTATAGTTCTTAAATGATTCTTACATGTTCTTATACATCTTGTATGATTCATTTCTGTTTATTGAACGCAGAAATTTCTCATACAATTGAAACTTTTCAATAGGATCCTCCGGCTACTCTCGGGCATGTCAAGCTTGGTGACGCTCGGCACGTCACCCCTTCTGTTCAGCTCACTCTTCTTCTCATAAATTATGCTCGAGCAACGAGTAAACATAAAATTTTATAAAACTACTGCTAGTTCGAGAAACGCAATTGAGGCCTATTATATTCACGTAGCTTGCTTTGTGATTCCATGTTCAACATTTTTATTGGCAAATACCGCAGTGTAATTGCATGGGGTGCGATGAAATGACGCTCAGGACACACCACGCCCTGCTTTTTTAACGTGTTGGCGTTGGGGAGTTTGTGTCGCAGAAAAGCGGGAATCGATGTCGGTGGCATTGTGACGACAAAATCCTGATTGGTCCATAGGGTCATGACGTCACAGAGACATGACCTGGCGCGGAACTTTCTAAGAACCCCCAACGCTCACGTAAAACGTGACGTCACGCATGGAATGAAAGCGATTAAAAACATGTCATGCCAATTAAATGTCGCCGCTTCTTTAAAAAAATTTAACTTTATAAATGAACTAATTTGCCTTAAAGAATAACTTGAAAATTCACGACACTTCGGTTGTGAGCCAGACACGCTACACACTGGGCCATGTCCTCTTTTTTTTTTTCCTCCCAATTGCAGACAAGTTATATGCGCCGCACTTCCTGCTCACTGGCAGGAAGAACATTAAACGTGAATGAGAATTCGATGCGAAAGGGGCCCGATAATACTATCGCGTTTCACTCTTAAAGGCCAAGCTTAAGCATCCTCCAAGTTGTTAAGCTGTCATTGCCTGCCAATCGTCCACAGACATTTTTTTCTAGTACCCTTTCACCGTCCCCTTACGTACGGACTTCGTGCGTCGGGACCCTTAACCGAAAATGAATGAATGAATGAATGAATGAATAAATGATTGAATGAATGAATGAATGACATATATTTTCTTCTGTATATTATAGTTCTGGGCGAAGTTTGGTAATAATATTTTTTCTTCTATTATCTTTATTACTCAGCATCACAACTGCCAGGGGAGATTTTTTTTTTTACGTTACGAGCACAGGCTATCCAGAAATTCCAGGTGTAAATCGCATAGCGTGAGCCAAACTGAAAACACTTTCATTTCCAGTCAAAAAAAAAAAATACGCATGTTTTTTTGTTGTTTTTTTTTTAAATGCGATCGCGTTTCTTTAAAGTTACAATGCAACAAATTTTATACTATAAATAAATAAAGCTTAGAATTACTCCTTGGCATTTAAAACCTATAAAACACGCTTTGCTTATTTTTTTTTCTCTACGCAATGGCAGTCGCAAAAAAGGTTCCAGAAAAACGTACAACATTCACCCCCTCGAATCGTTGCACAAAAAAGCGGCAACATGAACTGTAGTACTAGATAACAGAAAGTATAAAACAGAGAGAGGATGAAACACAGACGAGCACATTCTTTTTGTACTCGTCTGTGTTTCGTCTGTGTTGATGTTTCTGTGTTTCTCATCGTCTGTGTTTCGTCCTCTCTCTGTTGTATACTTTCTGTTATCTAGTACATCTTACCAACACGCTCGTTAGGAAAATGAAATGGAGCCGACTATATGCCGCCAGCGCACAGCTCGCGCATTGAATTCAACTCATTGATAAGTTTGGGCTATTCGCGCTATTCTAGTGTTAGGTCTATGCACATTGAGGCATAGATTGTCACAAGCAAAAATCGATTGCCAATGCAGTGTTCGTGTTCACGGCATGAGTAGGGATCGCAAAGCTTGGTGACGCACTCCTGGGGATCACATTGTGGGAGTTTTTCACGCAGCTAAAATAATATTTCCGCTTTCATTCTTGTAATTCCACCGCGACGAAGACGCTTCTTGGTCAGTAGCGTTGCGTTCGAATATTTGCGGGTCCCACTAGTCCCAATAAAGAGGTGTATAGTGAGAAACATTCCTGCCCAATATTTTTGCACGCTCCCTTTATATCTCACCCTTAAAATCTCGATCGTCAAATCAAAATGCTTGCGCATGCTTGGGTAATTGATGCGCACGTGCCGTTTGCTTTATCTTGATCGCGCGCACGCGCGGTTGGCGGAATAGTGAAATAATACCCACTTCCATTCTTTTCACGCGCATGCGCGGGTCAAGGGACGAGCCTGCATGCGGCGCACTTTTCATAAAACCTCGCAAATGGAAGGGTGGTGAAGAAGAGATAGCTGAACAAAAGGGGCGAAGTGCCAGGTATATGAGCGTACTCTACGCGTCGGAGAGATGCCGGAATTTAACCTTCATAGAAGACAAGCAATGTTATCGCATTTTGACGTAGACTTCGTGTCCTCCTGTATTTTGTTTCGAGGTGGAATTCCTTGAAGTCATATTTCTTAAAAATGTAGGTATATTATACATCTCCGTTACGCGTGTTGTGTTTTTTAAAGTATATAATATCACTGAACTTTAGGAGCCATGTTGTGGTATATAATACGTTGATTAACTACCGGCAAATAAGTAAAACATAGACAAACTAAGTACAACAAAACATAGTTTATTCCGCACATTTATTTCATTGGTGTTTAGTGGGACAGCACCAATGCAGGCAAAAATATACAAGCGTAAATATCACACTCGTGACAGTGTGCAATAAGGAGCCATGACATAAACGAACACAGCAATAAATAGCAAAGCGAAACTTTAACTCGCTCATAAGATAGCTAAAGCCAGAGCAGTCAGAGGTGAAGGGCAAGGAGTGAGAAGGGCGCATCTATACAAATCCACATCGCCACATCTTCCTAAGCAGGCAAGAGTTGTTCAAAGTACACATATATTTTGTTTCAGGAGCTGTATTTCTAAGAACGTACTTCTGATAACCAGCTATATTGAATGACGCTATCGTTTTGACAAGAAACTGTGAAAATTAATTAAGATATGAAAACCTAGTTCTTGTTTTTTTACAAGTTTAAATTTCGGATAGGCTTGGATAATTATTTTCGCCTGCCTAATAGAAGCCATAAAACTCTCCAAATAATATCCGAAAAGAGCAGTCTTGGGTCACCTCAGTCCGGTCGAGGTGTACTGGGATATATATAGGGCCGGAACAATTTATCAGCAACTGTGCGGTGCAAATGATGAGGGGCCGAAGAAGCTAAACATTATAAAAAAGATAATGAGCAATTCACTCAGGCCTTATTTATACAGCCTTCCTGCATTAATTTAATATTTCCTTCACCGAAATGCGATAAGAAGAAACACATACCCACGCTTAAATTGTTTGTGCCCCAATTAGCGACATGACACAAGTGCTGCAAAAAACTAAGTACATAGACCATACATAACCAACGGTTTTGTGTCATCCGAACCCGAGATATTCACAGTAGTTGGGCCTCTCACCAAAAGTGTGCTGAAAGCAGCATTTAGCAAAGATATTGAGACATACGCAGGGCTTTTTTAAAACGATATTGTGAAACATATAGAAGAATCCAGGCAGTATCTGTATATGCACTCTTTCGGATATCAGTTTCATTCAATTATTTCTTGCTTAAGCAATTGTGGTATGGCCAAACGTGTATCCCAGAGGAGCGCGAGCAACGGTGTTGTAAGCTAGCGGAGCTACACTGCGGGTATAAGCGACTGGGACTGGGTGAACGGCCTTCACGACAACTGGGGTTGGGTGAACAGCCTTCACCACAACTGGAGCGGCAACCTCTACAGAGGAGGAGTAAGTTGGGGCGTCGACTGGGGCGGAGGTCTTGGTTCCTGGCTCGTTGGTCTGAACGGTGGCACGGAAACCAAGAGCGTCCGCTACGTAGTTGACAGTGCGGGCGATACCGTGAGCGTCCACGTAGCTGTAGGAGCCGACCTTGTTGTTGAATTCATCACCAGCCTCCTGACGGGTCATGCGGGTGCCGAACTCATCGACGTTGTCGTAGCCAAAGCTGTACGGTTGGGGCACGTGCACCTGAAAAAGAAACAAAGGTATCCATGTTTAGATTCCCATTTTTATACCGTAAGAGTGTCCACTAATTAATCCGAAAGGTCTCCGCTATTAACTAAGGGAGGGCTGTTTAAAATACTTCCTAATTCACAAAGTGCAACCAATATATTCGTTCAACGGTACAGTTACAACATAGAAAAACCCGGGAAAGGAAAAGATATACAGACCGCTGACTACCAACTTGATTCCTTTCATAGTTCGTCTTCCTCTTATGAAGACCTTTTTTCCTATTTTCTGCTACAACTGATGATAAAAACCACGCCCCATATCCGCGCTCCGCACCCTTTAGAAAACATTTTGCAATTTTGCTTTTTGCTTTCATCGCTTTTTAGTTTTGGGATTACAATATACAAACATATCTGGTGCTAAGTTCTCTAGAGGCGCTTATTAATTATTTAGCACAGTTTTTTTTCGTGTTTTAGTTTGAGAATACAATAAAGAAACATATCTGGTTGTATGTTTTCTGAAGGCGCCTTATCTTCTGCAAGTTTCGCGTTCTAGCTGTCATATATTGTATTTCATTTTCGAACAGAAGTTAAGTTCTGAAGCTACAACAAATAACCTGGTTCTTCTGACAGAGACACTTGACCACGGCACAAATTCATTTAGCAGATCATCGACGGTAGCAAGCCCTACATATATTTAAAGTGATTTTGCCACGTACTCTTGAAATATTCACTTCGGACCTTTGCTTTCCCCAACATAGTTTTTAAATAATTTTTGTTTAGGCCTACGAGGCTACAAGCTGTTCTTTCCAACGTGCTGCCATATGCGCCAAAGTTTCAGACAATTAAACTTGAATAAAAAATACGAGGATTATGCACATTCATGTTACCCCTTCTTATAGTTAACATGACTGTATTACTGCAACACATAAATGCCGACATATTAGTATCCTTGCACAAATATTAAAATGTGGATGTATCATACGAACCACATATAAGCCGATGGACGCTACGAACTTCGACGTTAGTATAATTTCATAATTCAGCAAATAGTTAAACCGTAACTGTCACCAGAACCACGGCCTCTAGAGAAAATGATTACTACCTTGCCTTCTGCAACGAGTAACAACCTGAGAACTTGAAGTTTCTACAAAGCGGACACGTTAGTGACTCTTGCGAAAATTTCTGAAGTACTCTATTAAGAACTAGTGAGATGAGTCGTACTGCTAACCGTTTTTGTTACTTGTATGATAACGTATCATGTGACTTCATTTAAACTCGAAGTTGCATTACTTTGTTGAGTAACGGAATTACTATTTATTATATAACTATTCACAAAGAGAAAGAATTTTCAACTTACGTTCTCGACGACAACTCCACAAGCCACGTAGGCAAAAAGGCAGCACACAAGGACCTGAAGCGGGAAACACAATTTTAGAATAGTAAAGAGCGAGCAGCGATCAGCAGTAGCCTCACAGAAATATATGCTAATCTTTCGAAAAGTATCAAAAGAACAGGCAACGGTTTTCTACATTAACTTTGCTTATTTTTGTCTTGAGTAAACAGGCTTGTGGTGAAACCTTTCTAAACGAAATGTATCCTTGAAGAACCATGGCTGCCATTTTGAAACTTATTAATTTCTTTTTAATGCGAACAGCTTCTGTTAAATTCATGCTTCGAATTAACTACGGCACCTTAGAGAACATGGTGAAGATTACTTCTTTTGCTTTCAAAATGTAGTGATACTGCGTCGTCCAGCAGCGATGCCTTTTATAAGAAGACTGCATTCCTGCAACGCCCAACTATCCGCAATCTTGTCAAGAGATCAGAGGGAGAAAAGAAGGCGTTTCTGAACTACCACTTGTAAAAAAAATAGTTGCTTTGAAAAACAAGCAAAAAATTAGGAGAATGATTTCTAACGTCTAAGGATTCCAGTGTCCTTAAATATACCCTCTAATTCGTAACTCCCAGGAGATTACACTTGCGTGTCTTATGTTGTATCAAATGTCAATCTTTTCCTAAAGTTTGAGCTCCAATTAAAGCTGGGCGCACTCTCGCCTTCTTTACTCGAAAATGCTAAGTAAAGTTGTTCTTGAGAATGTTACGTAGCTGATTCAAATGACATGTCAGAGTGATGGGCTTATGAACGACCGGGGACTTGTGATTATATTTATGCATTTTTGTATATTGTTCAACCTTGTTTCCTCTTCCAACACACCATTAACCTTGTCAAGTATGCAAAAAACAAAACGGTTTCTACATCGACTTGAGGAGTATTTCACATCCTGCTATGCTCGCTGGCTGCTAGCGTTTGTACGTACGCTGCCGTCTAGTCAGGTGACTCACTGGCTTCTCTTATTTTGTTCTTTTAGCGATATTTAATTTTTAAAATTTGTGGTGGTGGAGGTATCAAGTTTGCTTATGAAGAAAGTAATTTTTATTGAAGAGGGTGGCTTTATTTGATTTTGGCCAAACTGGTAGGAATTGGGAAGGGGGATGACTTTTTTCTCAAAAATGCAATGTTCTTGTTCAATTTCCGCGATGGACAAAACACCGCAATGAAAATTATAACGAGGTTTCCCAAAAAGTAACTGAAATTATATGTGGTAGATCATGACAAAACCTCAATAAGATATTTTTGCAACATTGACCGTCGTTTACAAACTGTTTAGTTCACTGAGACTGCTGACATATCTATACAAAGTAAGGACTACTACGCATTATGAAAATGACTTTTATGGTAATTTTAACACTGCAACCTTGCGTCTCAGAGCAATTTGACCTCACATACATTTTTTGGGGGGAAAATCTGAACTGTTATGAAACATTGTATCCAGGAACCATTCGTATTTTAGCTATGAACCACAATCTATCTGGGTCTTATATTTTGTATAGAATATTTGTAAAAAAAAAGAACTTGCTCTTGACTTAAAAAAATTGTTTAGAGTCGAGTTTTTTTTCTAAGAAACATTTTTTTAAATCTTTTGAATTAGAAATTTTGCTTGTTGCAAGAATCGAGCTATCACATATATTTTTTCTGACAAAAAAATTGTGTGTGATTCTCTTAACGACAGGCTCGGTTGAATCCAAATGAAACAACCAAACCGAAAACGCCAAAAATAACTATCGGTTATTTAAGCTTTTTTATATGTGACTTTCCTGTCTGAGTTTGTTGAATTTGAGAATTTCAGGGTAATATTGAGATATGTATGCAGCCTATTTTGTCTACGGAACACCCGTTACGTAATTTATTATATTCACAAGTTGGCGCTTCTAAACAAGCTCGCTACCGCCTGGTGCAAGTCCATGAAGAAAGCCTTCTGGTTTTCTTAATGATTTTTATATTGGTTGGTGTACTTTTGTTAAATGTAATTTTCAATATGTGCTCGGATAGGTATAAGCGTATTGTGCGCATTTAGTAGTTCCTTAAATAAATTATTATTTCTGGCCACTCAAACAAACAATTGACAAGAAATGCACTACAGGAAGTGTACTACTCGAAGACGAAATACTATTCCGTCATTGTGTTCTCAACTTCGTCGTAGAGCGATTAATAGTTTGCACAATTGATTGCAATAGGTTTTTAGTGAGAATATTAAGGAGTTTATTTTTCTTACTTCGGAATGCTTAACCTAATGGTATTTATAAACAGACTAGCTGCTGATGGCATATTATTTTATATGTATTAAAATAGGTAACATTTAGAAAAAGAGACACTTTGGTGCATATAGCGCAACCTTCAAAACAAACTGTGTGATGTAGAATGTAGATGAAAACTTAATTTTGGAACTTTCTTTCTTTGAATATGTGTTTTCATGTTTGGGAATATCGTTTGGCAGCATATATATTGACAAATTAGAGACGGAATGAAAAGCACGTTTCTCGTCATATACAATGAGTACTAAAATATTTAAAAAAAAAACAGCCGAGGTGTTACACTTCTTCAGGCAAACATTTTAATTTATTTCATGTCAAGGTGCTGTATTAAATCAATCTAAAAGTTTTATACGCATTTTGAACGGCTGTTTTCAATTACTCAATTGGAAATGTTTATATCTATAGTGCCGGTAGTCCAAACCAAGTTTGCACTACATACTGGCCGCCTTGTGCCCTTTATCTATAAAATGTAATCGACTACAGTCACAAATTAGTGAGCCTTAAACGTAATGAATTACCATTACAAGTTACTTTTGCTAAAAGGAAATAATTACATTATTCGTTACGTTACAAATCACTTTCCCGTTACGTTTCCGGAACACTTATAAAAAATACAATAAAAATAATTTTGACGTATTTAAAAATATTATGCAACACTACTTTGCATTCCTCACGCGCCCGCATTATGAGAGTCCTTGTAAAAGTAAGCTATTTTATCTGAGAGAAAGAGTATAGGTGCACTCTGTTAACCTTGAGCTGACGAGGCAGCGAAAGTTGCAACCACACCCGCCATCTCGCTAGCTTACGGCGACCGGAAATAAACCCTGGAATTATGCAGACAAAACTAGCGGTGCGCATGCTCAGTAGCAGCGTTTTCCTCCACTAGGACATCAAGAAGACATCTACTTGGTGTTGCCTTCTTGGTCTTTCTTCTTGGCATATTTCTGCATGACTTTCACGATTTTCGATTAGTACTAATGACCGGTCATACAGAAAATCCTGTTTTCTTTTTGTTTATGCTCCTGTTCACAATGTTTTCTATATTGTTGAATTTGCTATTTTCGTGATGCAAAATTGCCTATTCATATCACTCCAGTATCTGTAATATGATAATATATTTAGAAAATAAAGCGTAACTAAATTAATCCCTTTCCACTATTTGTAAAGGAATTACATTATAAATTACTACCGCGAGAGATGAATGTGGCAATTATAAAATTACTTAAAAAGGTAACGGATTGCAAGTAATCCGTTACTCTTGACAATTAGTTCCCATATCTGCATACAGGTCGTTGGTTTCGTATTTACCATTTCAATTTTTTTTCTGCTTCTTATTGACGAGTCTAAAAGCCTTCCTTCAGCCCAGCTCTACTTATCTTGTTCTGAAGTATTCTAATACGATTGGCGAGCGCATCTAAAAAGAAATATTGAGCAAGTGTTTATGTCTGTATCGTAGTACTGATGTTGCAGTTATGAGCCAATTACCACTAAGTACGCGAACGTTGCGCGAAGTGTGTTTTATATAACTTAACGCGAATGGACCTGTTTATTCCCTTTGTGCGAGAACCTCTAAACGAAGGTCAAGAATAAAAAAAGGCTCGAGGTACACCTAAGCACTTCTTATGAGTTGTGAATGCGAAAGCATGCAAGCCGCTCGTTCGCTCCCTCATTTCGTCTGCTGCGCACATTTGGTCACCGGTTAGCACGCGCGCCCTCCTGGGCGTGCTGACCTTGGACGCTGCGTGTTTACGGCGCGCTGACGGACTCCCGGCAACATGGGGTGACCGGTCGTTTAAACTCACGCGCAGCGGCCAATGGGAGTCTCGTCGACGCGCGCCAGCCAATGGGAACGAAGTCTAAATTCATCAGCTTTACACCGCTACTTTGGGATCGGGGAATTAAGGTGCCGGTGACTAGCTTTGCTCGTGGTTTCATAGCTGGGAGCTGGCTTCACTTGGGGAAAGGATTTAAGGTGCGGTTTGGCGCGGCTCGCTCCATGAGGCCGTTAATGCTTTCGCATTGAAATAAATGAATACTTAATTTTAAAAAATTTCACATCGCACACATGAAAAAAAATTCCCCTACATGAAATTTATGTTGCGGATATGCATGCTTATTTTCTTAAATATATTATGATCGGTCTATTGAAGTACTTAAGTAGAACGAGTTAAACGAATGATTGAGACATTGTTTTGTACTTCGCTTTTAATTGCGTTTAAATATTACGGGCTTTTACAAAACAATAATAATAACATAAAAATCTAGAAATTCAAAAAAAAAAACACGACGTTACGTATACGCGTACTACAGATAACGCGGACAATAAACAAATCGCCCCTGTGTATTCTGACAAATTGCAACTGCTTTCTTGTGGTCTTTGGAGTTGTGATTATTTATATCACCTGCCTATTTAATTTTCTACGTTTAAGTTTATAAAAAGGACTGTATTTTATAAGACAGATAATATTCCCGTTGACCGGATTTTCAAATTCAAGAAAGACCCGGGCTATATCCGTAGCAAAAATATATATCCACATGGAATAGTAGCATTTAGATGTTAGTTTTTAATTTAATATATGTTTCATGTTTCTTCCTGTTTGCCAGGGGTGGAAGGGACGTTTCCAAGTGGAGGGAAGTCGGAGTGTGTACTTTCATCATATCTTCAAGCACTGCTGAAAGCACTCAACACGTACAATGAGGCCGACCTTTTTGGGCAGGTATATATTTCAGCATCGCCTTAGATGAAAGCTTCATGAGCTTGTCGAAGAGAAGATGCTTAAAGTGTTCTTAGCAAGCTTCCCATAAGATCTACGTAATCTGCAGCGAATGTTTCTGAGTTTCTTTTTTACATTTAAATGTTCCCTGGCGTTTTTTTTTTCAAGGGAGAAGATGGGGCATAGAGGCCTGTATTTTTATTGACTTTAATGATAAATTGCAGACACCTCCACTAGTAAAATTGTGTTCTTTTAAGAGGCAACGCTATTTATGAAAATTAGAATAATCATATATCTCGAGGAAGCATAAACGAATTTGAAGACTCAGTTTTTTTTGTAATTTTAGGTCCAATTTTATCATGCGATGTCCAGGTCATAAAAATAAGTAGGAAATGAAGTTTAAAAATTGCTTGATTAGTTGATCTCGATGCACATGATAAAAACGCTAAGTTTTGGAATATAATTTACTGAGAAGCAGCGCAGAGTTCGAGTAGGAATTAATCAACAGAAGACGCGTAGACATTTGAAAACCTGATTTATTTGAGTTTTTTTTTCTTTCCTTACACGGTTTCACCCGGTGAAGCGTTAGAGCAATACAACTAGGCCGATATAAAAGCCGTACACGCACCAACGTTCCTGTTGACACAGTGGAAACCAAGAAAACTTACGGCATTATCAGTACTGAGACACAAAATAAACACTCGTAAACATAGCGCTTAATCAGAAAGACAAGGCCAGAGGAATAGAAGCTGAGAGAGTAAACGTTTTAAAACAACTTATACGAACACGCATTGACGGTAGCATGAAACCCTAAGAAGTCGCCAAATATTGCGTAAATAAACCGCATAGGCGCTGTAGGTTAGCGCTGGCTGCTAGGCAGTTCTAGTTAGAGAGGTTAGTATGTGAATGAAAAAAAGATGATGCAAATAAACTGAGCTATATGACTTTTGCTTCACTTTATTTTCAGCACCGGATGCGCGGAACAGTTTGCGACGTTATTGAAACAAGCTCAGAAACCAGTAGCCTTGGGTCTACACGGCCCATTAGAGCCCCATCGGGAAAGATATTAGGTCAGAATCTCATACCAGACACACTCTGCTAGAGTTGTATATGCAAAAAAGGCGAGCAAACTGCATGCAAATGTCAAAAATTGTGTAATCTGTTGACCCAAGTCCAGCTGACGCGGCACTGCATTCATGGCTTTTAGCTCATACTTCCTTCACCAAAAAGTTATAGAATGCCCAAAATATCCCCATAATTCAAGCACAAAACTTACATGTGCTGCACGAAATGCCGTGAAACATATATAAAAAAGTGTCAGGGAAATTCCTCGACAATGATGGATCGTGCCATTGCCTAGTGTCAGGTATTCAGCAGCAAGTACTCATCTGAATAAAGGTGTGTGGGAGTAAGAGTTCAACAGAGATAGGAGAAATTGCAGTGATATCATTTTACTGTGCACCATAAACATAATATTTTTATCAGGACAGAAGCTATATTTTCACTCTCTTCGATATTGATTTAATTACGATTTCGCGTAACTAAACGATTGTGGGGTGACCAAGAGTGTAGCCGAGAGGAGCGCGAGCAACGGTGCTGTAGGCCAGCGGAGCAACCCTGTGGGTGTAGGTAACTGGGGCAGGATGGACAGCCTTGACCACAACTGGGGCAGGGTGAACAGCCTTCACGACAACTGGAGCTGCAACCTCGACAGCGGAGGAATACGTTGGGGCGTCGGCTGGGGCAGAGGTCTTGGTGCCTGGCTCATTGGTCTCAACAGTGGCACGGAACCCAAGAGCGTCGGCAACATAGTTGACGGTGCGGGCAACGCCGTGGGCGTCCACGTAGCTGTAGGAGCCGACCTTGTTGTTTAACGCATCACCGGTCTCCTGACGGGTCATGCGGGTGCCAAACTCGTCGACGTTGTCATAGCCGAAGTTGTATGGCTGAGGTACGTGCACCTGGAAAGAAACACGGGTTTCTATGGTTAGGACTTTGATTCTGAACAGGTCATAATGATTGTTGGCAGGCCCGAGAAAGAAGTGATATTGCCTTCATAGATAGCAATAACCAAGTCGAACTGTACCCCTCCTTAGGAACCTACTTTTTCAAATACCTCTTTTGGCTCACTCAATGTTATTAATTTATTATATAACATACAACATGCTCAACAGGAATGAACTATGGATTCGAAAACGACATATTTTAGAAACCAATAAATTTATACTTATAAAAATATTTATAAAAACGTAGAAACATTTTCTTGAATAGCCCGTAAGTTAAATATAACAAATAAAGCAGTAGCTGTTTTTTTAGAGCGCAGCTCCTAGGGGCCCGTTTCCGGCTTGAGCGGCGTCGGCGTCGGCGTAACCGCGCGGTGCTATATGGGTAAATTTCCCCGCTAAATCTAGCGGAAAAATTTCCCCACTAGATTTAGCGGAAAAGTTTCTCCGCTAAATCTAGCGGGAAAAATTCCCCGCTAGATTGAGCGGAACATTTTCCCGCTAAATCTAGCGGAAAAATTTCCCCGCTAGATTTAGCGGAAAAATTCCTCCGCTAAATCTAGCGGGAAAAATTCCCCGCTAGATTGAGCGGAAAAATTTATCCGCTAATTCTAGCGGAAAAATTTCCCCGCTAAATCTAGCGGAAAAATTTCTCCGCTAAACCTAGCGGAAAAATTTCCCCGCTAAATCTAGCGGAACAATTTCTCCGCTAAATCTAGCGAAGAAATTTCTCCGCTAAATTTAGCGGAAAAATTTATCCGCTAAATCTAGCGGGAAAAGCACCCCACTAAATCTAGCGGAAAAATTAACCCGCTAAATCTAGCGGAAAAGTTTCCCCGCTAAATCTAGCGGAAAAAATTTCGCGCTAAATCTAGCGGAAAAATTTCCCCGGTAGATTTAGCGGAAAAATTCCCCACTAAGTATAGCGGAAAAATTTTCCCGTTAAACCTAGCAGAAAAAGTTCCCCGCCTAATCTAGCGGAAAACATTCCCCTGGGAAAACATTTTCTGGGGGGTCACGTGACCCCCCAAGGTCACATGACCCCCCCCCCCCGCCCCGAGAACAGGTAACCCTCAGTACCCTTCCCTCCTCCTCAAGAGCTGCGCTCCAATTCGGTGTTACAGGGAGTTGTAAACGGCTTTTTTAATTTGCTATTGAGAGGTTTGTGGCAAATTAGATCCACCAGATTTTCTGCTATTTGCCCTATTTATGATATATTCATCAGAGTAATCTTTAATGTTGTCGTTCTTTTATTTTTTTTTTACTTAATTTATCTTGCTCAATTTTTTTTTAATCCAAACAGTAAGACATATATCAGGCAAAGGAATTGTTGAGCACATACTCCGGGAACCACTGAATGGTTCCCACTGACTTACGTCTAGATATTGCATTATGTTTTCTAAGTATGATTGAGTTCCCTATCACAAACCAATATTCTTGTGTTTCATTTATAGGCACTCGAACACTGCGTCAAGTAAACCTTCAATACTCTTGAGGGTACAAAATATTGGCCTTATTTCAAACAAAATTGCGATGTAATCATTTCAATTTAGGGTTTCTGTTACTTTTTTGTTGATTAATTTCAGATTAGTTCCCTTGTAACGCACATGCCGACTTTATGTATCCAATTGTACCCGTGCGAACTTAGGTTTCGGGCAATTCAATTTGATTTACTAACAAGACGACGGACATTGCTACTCCGCGCCACTACGGAGACCCCAAACGGGCGATATGAACAATATTGTGCACTCTGTGCGTTGTCAAAGGAAAGGTCATCATTCAAAGTTTAGTAAGATTTCAATGTTTAACAACTCTCTTCTCGCCCCAGTGTAACTGCCACTCTCACCAAGGGCGTTTGGGTAATCGTGATCATGATACTTGAACCCAAGAGCGTCCTATTTCTACAAAGCCCTTGCACAAATAATCCCAGCAATGGCTTCAAATGTCATGAACTCTGATATGAGCTAGGTATTTACGTCAGTTTTCAAAATATGTTTTGTCCTTTCAAATGTTTGGTGGTTTCAAGCTCATAAAATCAGCATTAATTGTTCCTCGAACGGTCAGGTAATCGCGGTATTTTCAAGTATCTAGTAAAAAATATGGAATTCTTAACCTACGTTCTCGACGACAACTCCGCAAGCCACATAGGCGAAAAGGCAGCACACAAGGACCTGAAATAAAAACAAAAGGTGTGAAGGAGAAAATACCGAGCTTAATAAACAGTATATTTACAGTCCTATAAGCTTATCCTTAAAAACAAAAAACTTTTAAAAATTAGTTGACGATTAACTACCAGCGTTTTACGTTTTTCTGCCCTGGAATATATAAAAAAAAAAACAGAGCAACTCGTTTTTCGGGGAAATGTATTCTTGAATAATCGCGACTGTCATTCGAAGGCTCCTCAAGAGATGAATTTTTCCTAGCAATTATTAAGAGCATTCGTTACTTTCGCGCCTCGTTTTAAATACGGTACCTTAGAGAACATGGTGGATGTTGCTACTCTTGCTGTCAAGTAGAAATGGATGCAGCGTCCTTCACCTACGATGCCTTTTATAGGAGTTCTGCGCATTCCTGTAACGCCCAGTTTGCGAAGATTTTGAAAAGTGATCAACGTTGAAAAGAGGGCTTCGCTTACTGCAATATACGATAAAACGGGGGTTGCAACTGTAAAAAAAAAGAAAAAAAAAGATACTCCATTTGCCATAAAATTTATAGTTTCTATATATTCCTAGCAAAAGGTACGTAACTGCGTAAATAGTGTGGAAGGGTAGGAATAACTAAGACAGTTTTCACACTATAATTTTTGTGTAGTTTTATGAAAACATAGAAACAAGTTTAATGATTCTAAATGCAGCGTGAAAGCACCTTCACATCACATAAACAACACTTTTTCCTAGGTCTTCAAGAAATGCAAAAAAAATTGCAAGACCAAATTGAGTTTTATTACACCCTCCTCCCAAGGAGGAAATGGACACATGCAAGATTGCACTAAACATTGTACATAGGCAGACGGGTCTTCCTCATTTATGAAGCCCGATGGCAAATGTCTTTTTTTTTTCCATTGATTGGCTGTGGTTTTGGACCGGGCGTTAAGACTCCGATAACCATTTACACAAAACATATAAATGGTGGCATAAGTTCAATGCGAAGTAAAATTAGGTGATCCGCGAATGTTGCAGGTTAACCTTGGTATTCATTCACAAGTCGGAGCACCGATCCTGATAAAGGGACGCTGTCCTATTACAAGGCGCTGTCCCATCCCTCCCACAATCGCACTGCCCCATTCCTTCCAAAACGGCTTTGGACACGTTGAGTTGCCAATTGTGGCAAAAGGGGAGATGTTAAGCAATACTAGCGGTGGTTAAGAGCAACCCATTCACACATCTTTATAAAGTTAGTTTACTACAGCCGTTGGTGAGGCAGTTTTGGCTCAAGAATCAAGCAAAACGAACCTGTGCTACTTGCGTTTGAGTGCCAAAGTGCAACTTCTGACTTAGATCGTGTACACCACGCCAAGCAGGCGCGCCATTATAGTTAAAAGTACTGCTACCGCAGCGTCATCAATCTAGCAGTTCAATGTTTTGTAACTATTCACTCAAGAAATATATTGACTGTGGCACTCCCCCCTTCCCCTCCCACCTTCCGATTTTTCCCCTACTCTCCCCTAAAAATAGATGTGTTGTAAGTATTTGCGTTTCTTGAGTCTGGGAATGTCTTCTTTCATGGCCTCTCAACTAGTACATAACTGATTTCAACAGCGCACCAGAAACCTTTTCAGAGTTTATATAACTTAAATTGTTACATCTGTCTACGGAAAGATTCACACTGACTTTAGATCGACAAGGTATGGTAACCGAAATAATATTTTGTACTCATAACATATCAGGAATTTTAGACTTAATACATATTTGTATGATGGTTTCGAGCCGAAATAAGTACACATAACCTGGATTTTTCTTTCACCTAGGTAGGGTGTCCCGAATTATAAGCGGCGCGTGCGTGTTGTGCAGTGAAGGCATATTACGATACCACGAAAACCGATAACGCCGGTGCATTAATTCAGAATTTTTTTTCGTTTTTAAAACAAACTTCACTACCATAAATTTTGCTTGGATGCAAATTAAAAAGCTGATGCATCTAATGAGTCGTTTCGCATGTTTTTTATCAGGAGCACTTTGATGTTTATTTGGGTCTGAAGTGTAAAATCATTTTTAAAAAAAGTTGAGTTTAGTCAGATGGAAAGATATAGAAAAAGGGATGTTTCAAACTTAGCTAATTTCTCTGTTTCCAAGAATCCTCATACACCTAGAAATATAAGGCAGACTATATCCATCACTGAACGTTCACATAGACGTAGAGTTACAACAAAAGAACATGCTACCAGACATAGAACGCACCCTTGTACCCCGAACATTGGTCACTTAAATGATATACAAAAATTTACCTTTAATCATTTTACCCTAGTCCCCTACCTTCAAACTGAACAACTAATCCAACATTCACGAAGAAGGACTTGTAGTTTTCAAGACTGAACTTCCAAAAGCCGTACCCTCTTCTTCAGTTCATCGTTGCGGACAGCAACATCGAGAAGCAACTGGTTTTAAGTTCGAACAAGGGCAAACATATTCATGTTTCCCACCGCAAACATGAATATGGTTAAAACTTAAAAGACAAGATTTTTAAAGGTGAATATATCAACAAACGAAACCCTGCTTCGCTCGCTTTCTTCTCCTGGTGCCCTTCCATCACGGCATTCAAATTCGTACGTTGCCATTTGATGGAATAGATAAAAGAAAAACAAAAAGAAAAACTTTGCTCTGTCTAACTAAATATGGTAATGAGCAAAATACAAATGTAACGTATATATAACGATAGGTTCTATTTTTTTTAACTGTAACGGGAACGAGTTCCTTTTTCACATATGAAACTTGTGACGGGAACGCGTTCCAAAAATCAGAAGGAACGAGGAACGAGCTTTCGTTTCTTTTATTAAGGAACGTGTACAACACTGATCCTCCCTATGGGTAAAATTGGCCGGTAAATATTTCTAGGGCCGTAGCTACAGCAGTTACATTGGGGGAGGTGCCCGAAATGCCAACTTTGCGGAATCCGCAGTGCACTTCGGGCGGAGAGTGTGTTTCTACATTGCTTCTGCAAAGACAGTTCTTTCTCGCAAAACAAAATTCGGTTTTGTTTTGCTAACCATTAAGTGGATAATATATACATGTATATATATATATAAGTCAAAGATGCGTATTGTCGGAGTTACTAATTCGAAGTTTATTACGACGTTTCGAGCGAGGACCGCTCTTCATCACCTGATGAAGAGCGGTCCCCGCTCGAAACGTCGTAATAAACTTCAAATTAGTAACTCCGACAGTACGCATCTTTGACTTATTAACTTTTGCCGGTCCATTGTTTTTATATTTACCTTACTTTACCTATATATATATATATATATATATATATATATATATTTCTTTAACATTTTAAATTACAAAATAATGTCTCTCTCTTTCTATTTTTCTCTTTCTCTCTCTCTCTCTCTCTCTATATATATATATATATATATAGAGAGAGAGAATCTTTTTTTAATTAAAAATGGTCACGGACAAGGTCGCTGGAACTTCTCTGAAGACACCCAGTAGTGAGACATTTCCGACCGACGTTTATCCTAGAAGAACCTTGGCTTACATTGTATGACACCCTACGAATGTAAGTTTTTTAGTGATTACGAACGCCTCGTGTTAAAGTAGTGCTCGATTTTAAAAATGTTACTTTAGATAGCATGGGGAAGGCTGCTCCTCCTGCTGCGTCCTTCATCTGCGATACCTTTTATAGCGGCATTTCGCATTCCTGCAACGCCCAGCTGTCGACGATCTGCTTAAGCGATCTGCGCCGGGAATATAAGGCGTTTGCTACTGCCACGTGCAATAAAGGTAAAGCGATTCGCGAGAAAATAAAATCGAGCGAGCGGGGAGTTTTAGGCGTTACGAATTGTCGAAATTATAAATATATTTTCGGACGTACGCGCGTGCGTATTTGATATTTTGAGGTTACTATATCTACTAACAGAGGCACCGACGAGTAACCGAGGGTTATCTCAACAGCGGCGGCGGTGTTAAAGAAGTCGTCAATATTAACAACGCGGTTCTCACATCTCTGCGGCCATGCAGAGGACGTTTAGGGATACATTACCGCTGCTCCGTTAGATAAATTAATTACCTCCGTCACGTTCAATCATCGCTATCTTGTCTCACTCTCTCGAATATAGCAAAGCAAGAAGACAAAAAACTGTGGCTCCAATCCACGTTGTGAAGGTGGTTGGACAGCGCAGCTGTAAACGACACCCACAACTATTTTTCATTGAGACGTCACTTAAAAATATGCACGTTGCTCTACAAAGAGTGAAACCACAGACAAGCGAAATGTACTTAACCACACCTTTTATTACTTCACAACGACATTCACGACTACTTTATGGTCAGTGTGATACACACTGAGATTTTGAGTTCTCACTGTAGAGATACTCTTTGTTAAGGTTAAATCAATGCATGATCCATGAATGGTGGTTGGTTGAGTTGCATTGGTGAAGCACATGTTATATATGAAAGCGTGGTGACGTCACTACGTGTTTTCTATGCTGTTGGGTACTTTTTCACTCGGAGTAGCTTGCGCCACCGTAGCCTTTGCCGGGAAACACACGCGGGGAGAACGAACGTGCTTTCGCATTGTTCGCAGACGCCGTTAACATCCATTATGCGGGTTGCACTTCACACGAGGGCTTTGAATGACGTCAACCCATTTCGAAGCAGCTGCAAACCTAATCTTTACCGGAACGCGTGGGAGGGTGCTTCTATTGTTCAGACGCGTCTTAACACCCATCATGCGCTTTTGATGCTTGTTTTGTAGTTTTCTTTAGTGAAACTAATACTGAGCTGTATGCTGTATGCCTGATTTCAAAGGAGATATGTTGTTTTGCCTTCAATTGTTTGCCGGGAGTTTTTTTGCTAACAACGCCAACGACACGAATATTTCCTTGGCTGGAAAAGCTGCAACTCTTCGCTTTAAAAGCACCAAAGTGAGGACGGGAGTCCTAGAGCATTTATATAATTCTCCTACAACAACAACTATGTCCCCAGCGAAAATGCCCCCTTCGCAGGCAAGGTTAGAAAAGGTCCTTACAAGCCAGGCAC